CGCAGATCGTCCTCATGCAGACCGTCTATTACGGCTCGTTGGGCCTTTGGCTGGCGCTGGTGGACGGGCTAGTGCGCAGCAGCCCCTCGCTGGACCAGATATTCGACGCCGAGGTAGGGTCCCCTGGCCGGCGCGAGCGGGGTCTCGACCTCACGGAGTGATATGACACTACTGGGCTCTAGGCCCAGCTGGGCCACCTTCTTGCGTTATGGTTCTGGAAAAGGATATCACCTTTCTGAGTCTCGACTGCCTCATCCATAAAACGGAATGACTGGTAACAGGGAGGCAGAGTAGTACAAACAGGGTGTTGTAACAAACAGGCCTGCGTTCTAGGGAACCTAAAACACCTCCTTTCTGATACTGAGAAAGTGACTTCACTTCTCTGAGCCCCAGATTCTCAGGTGCCACAATGGGGAGAGGGGGATGGATAAAAGAGCATTCACGAAGGTATAATGGAAAATGCCTGGATTTTGGAGTTACACCTCTGTTTAATTTCCATGTACTAGCCGTGTGACCTGGGGCAAGTGTTGTCACCTCTGTGCACCTTAGTTTTCCTGTCTGCAAAATCATGACGAGATCAGTGACTGCAACACACACAACCTGTACTTTGGATTCAGAGAAGCTTAGTGTCCAGTCGAGGCCCAAATATACTAGCTGTGGGGCTTTGGGCAAGTTGCTTCACCTTTCTGAGCCTGTTTTCTCTTCTGGAATAGAATAATTGTCCTCAGCAAAATGTTATGCGTCCCAGAGGGGCCCAGGAATAAGAAAGTGCTTTACAGAGTGTAAGGGAAGGCTCAGAGGTGATTGCTTCTGAGAGGCAGATGTGGTATATGGTAATGAACATAGTTTTTGGAGCCGGGAGATCTGGGATGGAATCTTTCCTCCTGCTGCTCATTCTATGTGTATTATTTTTGGATAATAACTGCATAGCAAGTTATTAACCAAAAAGGGGTAAGAATAACGATAATAGTAGTAGCTCTGTGAGGTTGTTGTGAGGATGAGATGGATGTCAGCGGTCTCTGCAGGCTGAAAATGTACAGGTATTTGGTGTTTGATAGTATTTTATTGTGGAAGTTGCACACCCACCAGGTGCCTAGCAGTACCCTCGTAGGTGCCTCTCTCCTTCTAGGATGGACATGTGAGAATCCTGGGCTTTGTTGAGGAGCCATGTCATACACACTACCTGAATTCTAAATCAGGGGCTGTAAACCTTTTCTTAAAGGGCAAGATCGTAAAGATCTTAGGTCACGATGACTCAATTCTGCCATTGTAGCACAAAAGCAGCCGGAGACAATATGAGGTGAATAGATGCTGCTGTGTTTCGATAAAACTTTATTTACAAAAATAAATGCCTGGCCCCTGGGGCCATAGTTTGCTGAACTCTATTCTAAACCTTATTCTTGTCATTTACTTACTGCATCACTCTGGGCAAGTTTCTTAACTTCTCTGAGCTTTTATTCCTCCGTTGCAAACTGAGAATAATGATCCCTTCCTGGCTGCTGTGAGGGGTCAGATGAAATCCAGTGATGGATGTCTGTGAAAGCACCTTGTTGAAGGCCAGTCCACCATATAGGTGAAGGAGGCGTATTGGTTTCTGTTCCCCAGAGAACACTTGTTCCTTAGGAGGGCTGCCTGGGTCCTGGAGCCTGGGTCTCTGCCAAGTCACTTCTCCAGCATATTTCCGTTTGTGATTCCCCCTCAGATCCTGGGCTTTTCCACCCCTCCTGGCCGGCTCTCCACGATGTCCTTCGTCCTCAACGCCCTCACCTGGTGAGTATCACCAGTTTTGCTCTCCAGCTTTTGGGGTCTTAGCACTGGAACTAACTTCCAAAATTCGGGCGTGAAACAGGCTGGTGCTTGTTTCTGGGGAGTGGTGGACTAACGTGGGTGACAGAAGCCAGTTCTGGGACTGGCTCCATCACAGGGCTTCTTCTGTCACGATTTTGACTTAGCTGGAAAGCTCTTGTGTCACTCTGTGCATGCTGCCTTGGGACAGCTTCCGTCTCAGATCCCTTCCCTGGTGTGGAATGAAGTGAGGAGAGGATTGGAATGGGAATCAGGAGAACTGGGTTCTTTTCTCAGCCCGTGTGCCTTTGGCCGAGTTCCTTCCTTTCTCTCTGGGCCTCAGGTCTCCATCTGTACCCTAAGGGCTTTGACTGAGAGGCAGTTTAGTATAGAGATTAAGAGCTTAGGCTCTGGAGGCCGACTCACTTGGCTTTGAATCTCAGCTTTTCCACAAGTCTAGTGACTGTGGACAAGTTAATCTATCTAAGCCCCAGTTTCCTCCTCATCAGTAAAGTGAGGCTGATCATACCGCCCACTTCATAATTGTCAGGGTTATGTGACTTAATTCACAGGAGGTTCTTAGAACAGTGCCTTGCACGTTGCTGTTTTTGATCTCACATTGGAGGTTGAAAACTGGTGGAGTAACTTTGACCTCAGTTTGGCTCCCAGATATCTGCTTGGTTTACAGTTGTCAGCCCACATAGGATGTTTAAGATTTTTTTCACTTAGTTGGAAATCAGGATATTTTATGTTAAAAATCCAGATTTCTGGCTTCTCTTAAAAAAAAATGGGATGTGAGATGATCTTTTAACTCCAGGTCCACCTTCTAGCATGATGACTTGTCTAGCTGCAGGCCCCACTTTAGATGGAGCCTGTATGCTTCTTGGTGCCACAAATCCCTGCCAATCTCTAGGCTCCCCTTGAGTGACAGTTGCATCTGTCATCAAGTTCGTACTTTTGTTTTCCTTCTCCCCAGACTGATCCACTCTCAACATTACCTGCCAGGTTCCTCTAGGCATCTAATATTGTAACCCTCGCTTCCCACTTACCTCGCTCGCTTGTGACCACTATGCTGTCAGCCTCATTGTCCCCCACTCCCCAAATAACTGAATCTAAGGCCAGGACAACCCAGTGACAACTCACTGCTGTCCTCTCCCCACAGTGCCCTGGGCTTGCTGTACTTCATCCGGCGAGGGAAGCAGTGTCTGGATTTCACTGTCACTGTCCATTTCTTTCACCTCCTGGGCTGCTGGTTCTACAGCTCCCGTTTCCCCTCGGCGTTGACCTGGTGGTTGGTCCAGGCCGTGTGCATTGCGCTCATGGCTGTCATCGGGGAGTACCTGTGCATGCGGTCGGAGCTCAAGGAGATCCCTCTCAACTCAGCCCCTAAGTCCAATGTCTAGAGTCGGGTCCTTTGGACACCCTGCTGGGCACTTAATACCCCCCTGCCCCAACACCTTGGTCTGCTCAGGCCATCCAGATGAGGTCCAGCCCAGGTCTGAGAGGAACCCGGGAAATGTGAAGCCTCTGTTGGTGTGGGAGAGAGAGTGAGGCCCTGTTAAGAAGGCGGGTAGCAGTCAGGATCACAGCTGCAAGAAGGGCCTCTGTCTGCTGAAACCTTGGTTTCTGGGAGGTCAGCGAGGGGACCTCTTTCAGAGTAATAACAGAATCGAAACCATGTTACTCTTGAGCCATCATACCTGTCACCAGCCTGTTGTTTTAAAAAGGAAAAAAAAATCAAGGATATCTGATTGGAGCAAACCACTCTTGTAGTCATCTGTCGTACCTCCCTGGGACAGCTGTTACCTGGGCCATGTTGCTGAACTGCAGCTATTCTGTCTGGAGAAACACTTGGCTTCCGGACCCAGAGCCACAGAGAGAGACGTTGGCGCAAAGTAGCAGACTGCCGACAGGGAGAGGACGGCAGATGGAGGCATCAAGCACAAGGAGAACGCACAGCCTGTGCCCTGCCACACGCCTGTGCGCGCACACCCATGAACTCATGACAGACCGTCTTCTGGTTCTCTGCTGGGTCCCCACCCTGCTGCCAGCTTTCAACTCGCGGGCTGTAGGACCCAGAGAAGAATCCCAGCATCGCTCCCCGTCAGACCCTCGCACTATAGTCGCTGCCTGTTCTCTAGGGATGACCAGGCACCCCGCCTCCCACTGGCCCTCAGTTCAGGCAAGAGTTGCCTTCTGCTGCCTGGTTTGGAGTTCCATGGTGAGGAGGGGACGGTGGGTGCCCAGACACTGGAAGCCCAGCCTTCCAGCTTGAGGTGCACTGATTGTGCCAAGGGAGACAGGAATTAGCTACTAAGATTTTTCTTTGGGGTGAAGTGTTCTCCATGGGAGGCTTGTAGCTGCCCTACCTGTGCACATAAATACAGTATTTTCCATGGTTCTGCCTGTGTTTGCTTTGTAATGCCATGACTGGGGCTGGGAGAGGTTAGCACAGCCAGACAAAGAAGCGGCAAAGAATTATTAGGCCGCCTTCTTCTTTCCGAACCCCAGAGTGTTCCTCCATTTGGTTGAAGCATTAAGTACAGGGAATTCCTGTGTTCCACCCCTCCACCTGCAGCCTTCCCCGCTATGCCTTGGGTGAACCACCAGGACTCTCAGGATTCCTTCCCCACTTGCCAGTGACTTTTGAATGTGCTCAGTGGAACCTGCTGGTCTAGACCCACTTCTGCCTCTAAGCCATTGCTGTTCCCCTTTGGGTCCTCCAGAGTCTGCCCAGAAGAGCTGTCAGTTTTCAGCTTTCGGTGTCAGGGCTACACAGATGAGGAATTTTGCTGTCTCTCCAGGAAGCCTTTCTAGCCTCCTGGCTCCCAGCCCTGCAGAACAGGGAGTTGAGGCCGACAGGATGAAGGTTTAAGAGTGGACTTGCCTGGACAGAGGCTGGGAACATGTTCAGGTGAGGCACCTCAGTAACTCAGAGGGCTCTGGCCAAGCTGGAGGGAAGCGGGTTGTTGATGGGCCCCGGATCCTGGCTGCAGGGTCCAGGAGGTAAGACCAGCTGAGATAACTTCCCCTGGGTAGTGGAGTCCCCCCGTAGACACCACAAACTCCAAAGTCATGGCACTTTCTTTTGAGAAAAGCTTCGGGGCACACAAGTCCCATGGCTGCGGCCTCCCTCGGGCCTCCAGCTGCGTTGGCGCCCCTCTTTGGGAGTTTCCCACAAGGGCTGGTGCCATTCTTCTGCACGTCTTCTCTGATGACAGATCTCTGCCCCATGAGTCTCAGTTGGGTTTTTGGAAACTGCCAAAGGTCAGGGGAGCCAAGTTTTTTCCAGTAGTGTATAGTGACTAAGCTGAGTGACAGTTGGGGGTCAAAAATATGTGACTTGACTGAGACTTTTTGACTTTTAAAAGAACAAAGCAGTGTCTTGAGGCAAGTTGCAGCGAGGACGGGGCAATGACGGTGACAAGTTTGTCATTTTAGTGCTGAATAACACCCGCTGAGCACTTGTGGACAAATGCCCAGCAGTAGACTAAGTGTTCTACACTCCCGTGCTCACTTGATCTTCACAGCAACCCCTGAAGTGGGGATATCATCACATGTGTCTTACAGACAAGGAAGCTGTAAGGCCCTTGCCCAAGGTTCCATGACAGGAGTTGGCAGAGCCAAGATTTGGGTTCTGGTAGTGACATTAATAAACTCATTCTGAAGAAATTACTAGTTAAGGATGTTTACGTTCTTATTGGTTAAACAGTCCGCACCTTATAATCATACCTTCTCATCCTACTGTATTGTTTTAAATACTAAGGATGAACATAGTGCTTTGTAAATATTATTAGTTTTCTAAGAAAGACTGATAGTACATTAATTGTGGCCACAGATTTCCAAGTGAACATAAGAATGTAGGAAATGTTTTTATTTCCAAAGGGTAAAGAAGAGTACCTAGGTGAGAAAGTTACCTCTACCCTACCACTGGGTTGGCATAGGGGTCTGAAGTCCAGGCCCCACCTTCATCCCATCCACTACCTGAACTCCGGCCATTTGGAGAGAGAGGTGAGGACTGGGGGATAGCTGGTGCTCAGAATAGTTTATAACCCGCAGACTGATGGGAAAGGAGAAGGGGATGTCTGGCTCACAGGGTTTCTCTAACCCCTAGTTCTAGGCAGGTCTGTCCAGATCAGAGCCAAATAGGGGCCAAGATGGCAGCCAGCAGATACCAGTGGGGCAGTGCAGGAAACTTCGGGGGGCCAAAGATGGAGAGTGGGCACAGCTCAAACAGGTTCTTTGGAAGCAGTCTTAGACTCTAAAGTGACTTCCAGATCAGAGTAGCTTCCTTCTAGCAGTCCCAGAGGGTAGTCAGCGTGCAGGCTTGGAACTCCTCCCTGTGTCTGTAGCCCAGGGACCACAGGGCCTCAGGGGCAGGGGAGGTAGTGCCCGATTCTGGGCACAAGAGAGATCCTCGGTGGAGAGGGGATTAAAAGCCAGTCTTGCTTGAGATTTTCTGTAGGAAAGTAGCAGAGGGGAATGGAAAGAACTTTGAGACAAGAGGGGGTGGAGGGAACTGAGAATTTTAATCCCTGTCCAGCCTACCTGGCCAAGCCAGTAAGAATTCTAGGGGTCCAGTGTTGGAGGGCTTCAGAGAGTTGCAGTGGAGTGCACAGTTAAGTCCTGGAGTCACGTTACTAGCTCTGAGACCTTGAATAAGCTACTTCACTGTCCCTGGGTTGAACTTCCCTGAGTTGCTGTGAAGATTCAGTAAGATGTCATGTGTAAAGCACTTAGCGCTGTGCCTGGCACGCAGGAAGTAATCCATGAATCTAAGCAGTTGTAGTTTTGGGGCCACCGCCCCCTCCCCATCTTACAGAGGAGACACCTTTCTTTGAAGCCTCAGCTGTTAGATGGGAGACAGGCTTGCCTGTGGTCTAGGTACAGCCACCAAGTATTTAGCTTCCATGTGCCATGCACTGCAAAGTGATTTAGATGGTTCTCACTTAGTCAGATAGGCATCTTTATTTTCCCTATTTTGCAGACAAAGAAACTGAGGATTGGAAGTAAACAGCCTTCCCCAGCATCACCCAGCTGATAAGAAACTAGACCTGTCTGCTTCAACCACCTCACCCGCTTTTCACGTTCCAGTCATGTTTGAGTCAGAATGACTGAGGGACAGTCTTGGGGATCTAGCTGTTTTAGCAAAAGGTTGTGAATGTGACACTAAGATTGGCTTTTTTTTTTTTTTAACAAGCAGCTGTTCCCCTAAAGGTGGACAGTTAGGCAACTGTTCATAAGTGAGAAACGGGACTGGTACTGGCCTTAGAGCTTTATTATAGTGAGGAGGCCTGGAAAAAAGGTCAAACATGTCTGTTCAACACCCAACAAACTGGCTTCAACTATACCAAACCTGATTAGGTTTGGCTATTAGTATCCCTGTTTAATAAACAGATGAAATAGGGTCAGAGAGGTCATGTGACTTGTTAAAATCCACTCACACACTAAAATTTCTCCCAGTTAACTGTTCGGGAGCCATTTCTCTGGTGGTCTCTGATCCCCGATATCTGTTGCAGCATCCTGCCCTAATCAGGATCTAACTGTGCCCTGAAGAGGAGCCTCAGGCTGAAGTGGTAAAATGAAGGGAGAGTGGTTGTGGGCAGAGCCCAGTTCTGGGATTATGAGAGGCAGGTTACCCTGAGGCTAAATGCCAGCAGGAGGGGATAAGGCTGGAAGGAGTGCCCTGCTGGGAATCATTCACATGGGTCCTGCATCTTTACTCCTCCAGCTGCATCCTTACTCCTCCAGTGGCACCCTGGCCTTGCTGGGTCCCAGTCTAGGCACACAGGCTCCTGTCTAGTCACTTGATGGCATCCCCCGTGGGCAGCTGGGGCCCAGCTCTGGCTTCCAGTGGGACAAAGCAGAAATTGCCAATCTTGCCAGGCTAACGCCTTTTTGGGCTCCACCTGGGGGTCCCCCTCCCCGCAGGTTCCCATGAAAACTAGTGCAGGGAGGGCCCTCACTTCACCCCACAGGGCTTGGTTTTGGGGTTGGGAGCGTGCTGCCCAGACAGTCCGCTGATAGAGTGCGCAGAACAGTTCACTTGAAGGTTGATGGAATGGAAGATGCTTGGGAGGAGAGGTCGAGAAGAGGTTATTTTATAAGGCTGATGGAATTAATGGGGTCTAGAAAGGGAACAGAAATGGAGACTACCCAGGAAATGGGCAGGAGTGCAAGATGAGCCGGAAGACAACTGCTTGAGGTGAAGGTTACAGGGTGGATGGAGGTTGCGCGAAGGAGGCAGGGGTGGGGTGCACCGGAGGGGAGCGCCTCACCTGGACGGAGGCCGGCGGCGGCGGCGGCAGGTAGGGAGCCCGCTTCCGAAGTGCCCAGCTGCCGCTGCCTTTCCCCGGCTGAGCAGCGCGGTGCAGCCCTCAGGCTATTGGCGCCGCCCCAAGGGAAGCGCGTTCCATTTTCCGCCGGCGCCCGCCCTGCGGATGCTCAGTCACGGTGCTGAGCCCCAGTGGGGAGGAGGGGTGCAAGCGGAAGGGTTCAGCGGGAGCCCCTCCCATCCTTCTCCCTTGCTCCTAATCTGAGGATCTCTGTCACTGCCCTGGCTGGGGTGAGGGTGAGGGTGGGGGACTCTGCGCCCCTCCGAGGCTCTGATGGCTTCCCTGTTTTCCTGAGGGCACCCGCTGCCCCGCAGCTTGCCTCTAGGGGAATATGGAGGATTATAGTCTTTTTTTAAATTTTAATTTTATTGAAGTATAGCTGATTTACAATGTTGTTAGTTTCAGGGATACAGCAATGTGATACAGATACATATATATTTGTATATATTCTCTTTCAGATTCTTTTCCATCATACGTTATTATAAGATATTGAATATAGTTCCCTGTGCTATACCGTAGGCCCTTCTTGTTTATTTTATATATAGTTGTATGTATATGTTAACCCCAAACTCCTAATTTATCCTTCCCCACCACCCCTTTCCTCTTTGGTAACCATAGTTTGTTCTCTATGCCTGTGAGTCTATTTCTGGTTTGTAAATAAGTTCATTTGTGTCATTTTTTCTAGATTCCAGATATCAGTGATATCATATATTTGTCTTTGTCTGAATCACTTCACTTAATATGATAATCTCTAGGTCCATCCATTGCTACAAATGGCATTATTTCATTCTTATGGCTGAGTAATATTCCATTTATATATATATGTGTGTGTGTGTGTGTGTATATACACACACACGCACGCACACACACACACACCCACACCCACATCTTTACTTATTCATCTGTTGATGGACGTTTAGGTTGCTTCCATGTCTTGGCTGTTGGAAATAGCCAAGGGGTGCATGTATCTTTTCAAATTAGAGTTTTCTCTGGATATATGCCCAGGAGTGGGATTGCTGGTTCATATGGTAACTATTGTTCGTTTTTAAAGGAAGGATTGTAGTCTT